TGAGGGCCCTGCTCAATGAGCTTACATGCTAGAGGGAGTGGGGTATAGTGACACAAAAGGTAAGGGTATGGTGAAAAAGTATGTTGCTAGGATAGTATTCACTGAGAACGTGGTGTTTTGTTTTGATGACAGTTGCAGGAAAGGAAGCAGGGTGCAGGGAGAAAAGCTATTGACAGTTTAATTGATATGCTTTCCTAAAGAAGTAGCTTTTCAAAGAGTTTTTGGAGCAGAGACTGGGTAAAAGTCTAACAGAGAGGGGAGAGGTGTTCCATAGGAATGGTGCAGCCCTAGAGAAGTCTTTAAGGTGAGCATCAGAGGTGGGAGTACGAACAGAGGATAGACGTAGGTCTCCGGCAGAGAGTAGGGGCCTAGATGGAACATATTTGTGTATTAGTGTGGATAAATTATTAGTATTATTATTATTGCCATTTATATAGCGCCAACAGATTCTGTAGCGCTTTACAATATTATGAGAGGGATTAAACTATAAATAGGACAATTACAAGAAAACTTACAGGAATGATAGGTTGAAGAGGACTCTGCTCAAACGAGTTTACAGTCTGTAGGAGATTTTATATATATATATATATTTATATATATATATATATATTGTGTGCCCTGATTAGCTGAATCGAGAACTCTTATTCCAGACTGACCAATGACGCCCCAATTATGCTGCCAAAGGAAGAGTTGCACCTCTGGAAGCAAATTGGTTAAGCACTGTGTATGCAATGTTTCATAGTGAAATGCTGCTCGTAAAACCTCCAAGTACCATGACTGCTTCAAATTACAGAAGTGGTCATGGTGCTTGCTCCTTTAAGGTCCAGCATGATTATCAACTCCAAACCCATGTATACCGTAATTTACTATTGCTGGTGAGACTTTTAAACGCCCAGCTTCTGCCAACGGTCACATAACAAAGGTAGTAAATACAAGGTCACATTGGGTCCTGGGGAGCCAGTTTTTTTAATATACGTGTTTGGAACGCACCAAACTGGATTTTAAATTCACATTTAAGAAAGGCACATAGATAGTCAATCAGTGATAAATCTCATTGAAACTCTACTATATTTGGAACAAAACAGATTTATCTCAGCTCGTAGTGAGAACTTGGTGAATTTTGCTCATTTACTGCAAATTGACTGATTCTTATCAACAGAAAATGCTCAACAATCACAACTCTTCCTGGAATGCAGGGTTAGATTATCACTTAAATTAGATTTATATCAAAAATGAAACCAGATAAAATTGTATAGATTTACTAACAGGAAAGAGAAAGTTACATTACACCTCTATTGATACATTTAATCATAAAAAATTATTGTAGAACATTGCAATTATAGATACACTGTTAGACACAATAATGTAATCTTTTCTAGTGAGTCGTAGACTTCAACCACTGGAGGGCAGCATAATGCTGCTATTGATGGGCTGAGACTACCAGAAGTTTTACCTGTGATAATTACTGTATAAATAATACTTTTCAAAGAGAAGTCTTAATTGCAAGTCTTAAATTACTGGAAATTGGATACACCAATAGTTTATTAGTAGTCATTAGAAACATACAAGCACACTTACCCTTTAAAACACCAGATATTGCTTTTGCAGGTTGAAATAAAATCTCTTTAAATCTGTTTTAGATTCAGTATACTTCTTATTTCTATCCTGGCTTTGAGTTTGTGGTTTGGATTTTTTTTCTCGAAGTTAATTGGGTGTATTTACAAACTACATATGCTAATTGACTTTTATATTAATATTAAATAACAGAATACAATATACAGGGTTGTTCACTGAAGTAGGAATTGGCAAAGTGATTAAACATTTTAGTCCGCAAAAGCCAAGTTAAAACTGCATACATTCTGCCCACCTTCTGTTTCAAGCTTGCCTCGCTGAAATAGAAACATAGAATGTGACGGCAGATAAGAACCATTCGGCCCATCTAGTCTGCCCAATTTTCTAAATACTCTCATTAGTCCCTAGCCTTATCTTATAGCTAGGATAGCCTTATGCCTATCCCACACATGCTTAAACTCCTTAACTGTGTTAACCTCTACCACTTCAGCTGGAAGGCTATTCCATGCATCCACTACCCTCTCAGTAAAGTAATACTTCCTGATATTATTTTTAAACCTTTGTCCCTCTAATTTAAGACTATGTCCTCTTGTTGTGGTAGTTTTTCTTCTTTTAAATATACTCTCCTCCTTTACTGTGTTGATTCCCTTTATATACTCACTAGTTTTATTTTTCTGTTGTACAGCGCTGCATAATATGTTGGTGCCTTATAATAATATAAAAAATATTAAGTAACTTCAAAATGTAGAGTCTGATTTCATTGAATTGGAGTTGCCAAAGTGACAACTGTGCAGAATGTTTAACTACACTTTTTGCTCCGATCTGGAAAAGAAATAACTAAAATAAGTAATTTTGCAGTATATCATCTGGGTAATAAATTGTGCATACAAAAAAAATCACTGTCAGTAGCCTTTATCTGTAAATCAGTGGGTGGTCATTTTCAGAATGCGGTGCTATATCATTATTTACAGGGAAATCATGACCCTTAAATTATCTTTATTATCTATATCCAAGAGGCAGCATTTCCCAGTATGCTTATATGTGATATACTCATTTTTATTTATAAATATTTATTGAAGACACTCTGGACCCTCCTGCTTTCAATGCATTACCTGTTGGACATTACTTCTCTTGGTGGGGAATATACCACCTAAACTGTTTGTATTGAGCAAAACCTAATTTTGCACCATTTTTGTAAGTTATTTTTATTTTATTTGCACTAAATAATATCACAGAATGAACCATTTTTTTTTATTTCTGTATTGTTGCATACCACATATACGGAGAGGACTTGCACTCACCAGTGTTATATCACTCCACGCCATGTGTTACGAGCCAACACATAGGCTCCACACAATGTGAGTGCATTTCCATTTTATTTTATCCATTTCATCCAGATATACTACTCCACATTAGGCTCTCTGTATGTTTTATACTTTTATAAACATTGCCAGACTGGTGATTGCATCAGGGAGCTCACAAGAATCCACAAGCGGGGATTGTACCACTCAAACTCATAGAAGTGGAGCTTTCAAGAGCTCCTAAAATGTGTAAGTGCATTTCTTACTTATTCTTCCATTGTGCTAAGAATACTAAACTACATATTTCTCCATCTTCTGATTTTTGTTACATATACAACCGGAAAATACTGTAAGGCTCTACCCCTCTCTTCCGGTACAAGCATTGTATGTTTTAGGCCAAAATATTCAAATTCTAAAAATTCTTCAGCCAGATATTCTTTCAGCGTGGCATTTTGCTCCAAAATACCTGGTTCTCATGTCACGTTGCACAGTTTTATAAAATCAGTATTGACTCTGGTGAAATATTATGACTGATAGACTTGGATATTAGGATCAGTCAGAATCGAAATTCAGGAGAATTTCGACCAAATCTGTGCCATTTTGAATCACAGAATTTCAAATCGAACTTTGACACATTAGGCACCTTTATTCCTTCATTTTAGGGCTTACCTGGCAATTTTTAGATAGAACCAAAATTTTTCAAAGCAAACCAAAATTTTGAATTGAACCAAAAACTTTAAAACCCAAATTCTTCAGATCCGAAAGTCTTTTAAATTGAGAACTGCATCAATTTGGAAGAACCCAAAATTTTTACATGTACAAGTTTAATGACAAATACAAATTCTCAAACACTTTTATTTTATCTGAGAGGCCAGATATGACACCATTTGCTGCCACAAGAATACACAGATTCTTACAAATGCTGGAACTGTATTTACCAGGGCAATGTATAAATACACCTTAAAACAGGGGACGCCAAAATGTATACCCTCATCCGCCCCAGCTATTACCTATTTTTATCCACCTCTATTTTCCACATGGGATGCTAAGTGATGGGACCTTCTGCATGGTGTCTATCAGCGTGATTTCAATACTTAGACACACTACAACTAGGTATGTTGTACATGTGTTGAATAGATGTTTTATATTTTTAACCTGTAACACAGGCTGTGTGCAGAGTCTCTGCAACTGAACTGTGAGTTGATCTTCTCAACTGGTCCAGTGTAAAAAACACGACCGTGCCACAGTCACCAATGGCTTTGTGGATGTCCCCCTGGATCGGCCGGTGAATAATGTTCCACTCCTAACAAAAAACATATAAAGTGATATCTATACATGTTAAAACAGCATACTGTATCAATTCTGCCTGCATTCAGCGAGGCTACACAGTCACCCAAGTCCTGTAATAGATAGAGAGCGTATAAAATCATTGGCAATTGTCATTCACACACAGCTGTATGGATCCTATAATTTCATTATTAGATAGAAATTCTCATATTTTGTAGCACTATCCCTTTTAACAGAATACTCTGATAGTATTTATAACATAGGGATATTTTAGAAATAAATATGTTTAATAATTTTCTTTGGAAAATATTTTAAAATGTACTTTATATCCATGTTCATTAGCACTGCATGCATCTATTATTATTATTAGCATCATTTATATAGCGCCAACAGATTCCGTAGCGCTTTACAATATTATGAGAGGGGGGGATTATTATGAAAACAACAGCGGTTTATCAACCCAGCATGTATTAAAATCTAATCAATGTATTCAATGGATTCATTTAACTCCTTATTGTAAATATTGCTAATACAAGATATATATTTTTCCTTCAAAGAACATAAGTATATCTATATAGACAATCTCAGTACCCTATTCACTTAGAACTTTGTAGAATCCTTGTGAATAATAAAGGCATTTGGCAGACCCCAGACTCCCCACACAATAGGCATCCCCCTGCACACTCACACACATTGCAGTGTGTGTTTGTATGCTGTGTGCATTGCTTCCTCCCCCCTCCCTGTTTACTGAGGGTGAGTGGGGCAGGGTTTCCAGACTCAGACAGCCAGCCTTCCCTCACTTGCTCCTCCTCAAGCCTCTAACAGCTCTGTGTGAATGAAGTGGAGCTCACTCGCAGAGCAGTGCTGAGCACAGTAACCCCGTCTGCTCCTCCTTCCTCAGCAGTCCATGTGCCCTTCACCAAACCTCAAGAAAAGCCTCAGAGCTCATCCGCTAGCCCGGGATTACTGAGCAGCTGGCCCACACAGCCCAAAGCGGATCTGCAGTGCCCTGAATGAACTGGCACAGGCTTTCCATCAGTTCTTGCGGGAGATCGAAACGTTGACACAAGTTGTGGATCTCGCACCCACTGTCATGATACCCAGTGAGCTGAGGGTGAGTCTGACTTCCCCAACGTTCTATGAACAGAATTCCAGTAAGTTGCAGGATGTATCAGTCACTTCTGGAAGTTACTCACAGACCCCAGCGATCTGTCTGCAGGGGAGGGGGGGATATTATGCCAATATTTCTAAATATGCATGGCAGCATCCTATTTATTATTTTCCACTCATTGTTTTGTTTATAATTGATGTTATATTTCTGTTAAAGAATA